ATGGATCCCGTCACGTGTAAAGGCTGGCGCACAATGGATACGTTTTCAGGTTTTTTGACAGTTAGCCCATGCACACTTAGAAATACCTAATCTTACACGTGGCGGAATCCATCTTTGACATAAAGGATGAGACGTAAACAAACATGTCATGTAATATTAAGTGCTCCAAGACTGAAAAACTCGAAAGTACGTTTGATTGAGTTGAATTTTGTGTCTATTATGACCAATTTCCGTTTTTATCATTTACTATCACACGCAAGGAGTATCGCTTCAACCCAGTGTAGATGAATTGCGTTTTTTTTTAAATCTTCGCTGTTACGTACGAACGAAATGAACAAATGAGTTCATTGTACATCAACGAGTACACGTTTGTTGATATTCTCCAGTGCTTGATTATCCAACCCAAAATTGTCAAAATCAGAAATGATCCTCAAAAGCAAAATAATCAAATTCATTTTAGGCAAAATTATTATTTTAAATATTGTCGACTGCAGAGCCTAAAACCGGGATTTTATCATCAGTTCACCTTGAGGCAATAATTTGCCATCGGTTTGTGTGTAAAAATTAACACGACACGTCCTTCAGCGCTATATTCGAGTAAAATGAAAATAATCATTTTGCATTTGATCCTCAAAATCATCCCCACCAAGATGAAGACGAATATTAATATTGACAACAACGGAGGCGATAATGAACATCCTGGGGGGGGACGTGCTGTCAAATCAGCCTACTGATCATTCTTGTATGAAACTGGTTCCAAACGTAAACAAACGCTGTATGTTTCTTATGGCGTGTTTACGTTTGGAACCAGTTATGCGAGGCATGCGAGGTAGGCGACGATTGTTCGTATTTGACAGCCCCCTCCCCCCCTTGTGAACATCCAGCCACGAATGAAGGAAAACCAATGTTGACTACGATACTCAGAGGTTGCCTTGATCAAGAAAATGTTGTTATGTCAAAATTCAGATTCATGCATGTAGTTGGTCTATCTGTTAAGGTTGTCTTCATTTTCAGCTATGTTGAGTGTAGAAGGAATGATTTTTATCAGAACTGATTATGACTCAATTTTATGTCAAAATTGACGCTCGTATATGTCAGTCTCAGAGCACTTAAATTTACATTAATTTTTCTAAGTGTGTGCATTATCTGTCAAAAAACCCGAAAACGTATGCATTGTGCGCTGGCCTTAATATTAGGTATTTCTAAGTGTGTACTTCAGTATGTCTTACACTGTAAATCCAAACTAGGGAGGAAACATAATTCTCGGGTTGAAAAGTAGGGGGCGAGTGAAAAAATGAACAAGAAAATTGCAGGCTTCCTACAATTCTAGAACTTTCTAGTTACTTCGGTCGGACTGAATCGATCTTTCTGACTCAAGCCTTCAAGGAAGTTAGAAGTGGGCGGCGCGATATTACAATCGAGGTTGTCCGTTGGGTAAAAAGGCACGGCAGATGAGAGATTTTCTCGAGCGGTAAGGTCCACCACATTTCTCCCAGTACGCCATTTTAGTGGTAGTCCGACGGCTAGGACCGACCATTGTTTCGGCCACTCTGGGAGCTACACGTCGCCAGAACAAGGGCTGGGGCCATCCATTGTGTCAGCCATTTTGGGGAGCCTTGCGTCCCCTGGATAAGGCCATTGTTTCGGCCATTTTGGCTGGAAGTCACCACGGAAAGAGGCCTCCCGGTTGACCGGATCGACGGTCAGGTGGCCATTGAAGAGTGGTGGATCCACCACCACCCAGCATTACCAACAACCACCAGCACCGTAGTTCATCAGTAACATGCGTCCGTAAGTCACGACCACCACCACAGCACCCTCCTAAAAAACCGTAAGTCGCGATGGTTATCTTTTTTTTTTTTTTTTGAAAACCGATATGTATGAAAAGTTAGGACATAAGACAAAACACGAAAATTGTAAAAATTGTAAAATTGGTAGTTATACACGATACGTAAACAAGTAAAAAACGTGATCACGTAGTAGTTTGTATTAAAGTTAAATGGGGAAATAAATAATACCCGATGTACGAAGTTTGATTTTCAAACCACAAATTAGTAGCTTTTCTATTAGTAAAAGAAGATAGTCTTCCTTGGGTTTCACACCTTTTATTTGAATTCTGTCTTCTACGTTGAAAACTTCATACAAATTGGAAGTTTCCCACCCCTAGCTTTCTGAACTCTTGCCGTGGTTTCAAAAGGTAAGGGCGGTGTAATTAGGGACTAAGGAAAGTGAAAAAGGAGAGTAACAACATTTATCATTCGAATAAGCATCGGGTTCATGAACAAAAATCACACATTTAAATGAATCTGTCCGGTGTAGCCTCGGTTCACTAAACAAGTCTGCCAGCAACGCTGGAGGATTAAAATCAACGATACAAAACTCAAGCAAAAACAAAATCAATTATCTTAGACTAACATGTTACATCTTCGTTAGATAAAGGCGATGAACTGATCAAATGCTATATCCATTAGTTTGTCGGCGATCACGACTGAGCAAAATGAATAAAATTCTACTGTACAAACTTATATTTCATCCGTCCCATGTAATGTACCATGCTCTCCATTGATTTGTGAAGAGATTTTTCATAGTTGTTGCTTGTTTGCCTCGATTTTGTACCATGAAGGTGTATCTCGATCTTCTTCATTTTCGCATTTCAAGCTTATTGCTTATCGCATATTAGCCTATTGTTCTCTCAACTTAGTGTTGTTAAGTACAATGCCCAGTCGAACTCCAGACGAATCTAGAACCACACTACCGTTCATTCTGGCGACATCGCTCTGATGAGACAACGAAACCCTACCCCAAGCTCCTCCCCTTTTCCTATCCTTCGACAATGTACCCCTCTAACCTCGAGTAAGCCACGAGTATTCAGCCCAACTCCTACTAGACATAGAATTAAGTGAATTTTGTTACAAACAAAGAACAATGAATTATCGGCTCCGTAAAGCTAACGCGATTGAGCCTCACAAATAAACGAACTAGATAAAAAAAGTACAATGCCCAGGGGAATTGGAGAAATTTTCCAACCCGAATTTTTTTTAGAATGGACCGGGAATCGAACCCAGCCTCCTCCAGCTTGGTCTGCGCCTTCACCGACTTAGTTAAGGGAGGGCGTATATATGAATGATTCTTTCAAGATCGTATCATATTGAATTGGTAGTATAACCGATTTATATAACAGCTCTAGGATTTATGCATTTATTTTAGACTTTTTTCTCCTTGATTTGTTTTCCGTGCTGAGCACCAAGGGAGGCAGCTCCCACACCTGGACTCTACCTATCGACCCATCAACTCATGAACCGGGGACCAACGGCTTTACTTCCCTCTGATAGGCGTGATCAGAGATGTTATGCCTTAGAACATCCCGGCGACGCCGACTGGAATTGAATCCAGATCTGGTGGGGTGAGAGTTAATCACGCTTACCACTACACCTCCGATGCCGCTGTCCCAAATCCTAATTTGTAATTATGTTTCGCTCCAGAAGCAAGTAACTATGTGGAACAGCTCCCACTTTAAACGGTTAAATAATCAAATCTTCGATGCTTAAATCAATAAACTTACGGACTTTTTCCTAACAGTATACTTCAGTGGTCTCAAAAATTAATTATGACAAATTTATTCTACACTGCAGACCCCCAAATTGCAACCAATTTTAAAGACCCACACATATTATCACGCGAAAAACTTGACCCGTTTGAAAATAGGACACCAACTTCAACCGCCATGTAACAGGATTCGTTTTGCGTCATCCCCATATTTAATTACCGAACATTATCAAATCAAGTACCGTGGGAATATGGTCCAGTTCGGTTCGCTAATCACCCCAGCAATCTATCACGTAGACTCGAGTAAATTGGTTCCATTTTATCCAACCATCGCGTAATGATAATCGTCGTCGACCCAATGCAGAAGAAAAACCCGAAGCTACCACTTAACCAGTATAACAGCGCATAATTAATCAAACTGGTTGGGAAATGCTCGCTGCTCTTATTACAATCCTATTACTGAAATTCATAATTCACTCTGGTGGACGAGTTAAAAAAAATCCTCCGAAGAAAATGACGACGATGCTCTAGTAATAATCAGACGCGCGAGAGAGAGAGAAAGGGTAAAAAAATCACATCATCCAACTCATCTCGAAACACCATCGCGCGAACAAGCGCACTCACCGTGAGATCGTGAGCGCTTGCGAGCGAGCAAGCAATCATGGGGATGAGAATCAAAGACGAACGAAAAAAAAATAAAATAAAAACACAGATAATAATAATGAAAATAAACACAAATAGGGTACACCAATTATCGAATGGACTTATAACAAGCTCCTAATAATATATAATAAATAAAGTAAACATCCACCACTACCGAAACGGGTTGCTGCGAACGAACGAACTGAAGAAAACGAAGGCAGAAAAAAAGCATAAAACCGGGGCATCTCTCACCTCAAGAAGCTGTGCAAATGGAAAGTACATTAACGCGAACAAAGAGCGCTAAACGGGAGAGACCGTCCATTCAGGGTAATGTTGTTTTTAAATTGATATCGAAAGAGATGGACAATCGGTTGGATTTCGTACGACTCGAGGAAGGTGCGAGCGTGACGGAACGAGCATCATAAACATTTAATTTGCTTTTCCCCCATCAAGTGCCTCCGCTCGCAATAATGTGGGTACGATGCTAGGTGTGTACATAGGGCGTTAAGCTGGGTTTAACTCACACAGGAGACGGGAGACGGAATGGAGACTACTCTAGCTGATGAACTGGTTGAGTAGAAAAGCTTTGTGGCAATAGGCCACGCCTACTGCTCGGGGTTGGCTGAGGGAAGTGTGCGAGCATACTACCAACACAAAGCAAGCGGTTGTGCACGGTTGGCAAATGGGGGATGGAGCACATGCAACATAATACAAAGCTCTTCGGGTGGCGTTGTATTGGTGAGACCGTTCGCCCGTCGTATATGCGGATAGGTTGCGGAAAGTCACCCTACCAGTTTTCATTCCGTGTTCAGCGTTCGTTGAGCGAAGTTCTCGTGTACGTACCTGCATCAGTGAGCTCCGTGTTTGTTCGTTGCTTGATCTTGACTCCAGGTCCCTTCACCGCCGTTGTTCGCGCCACCGCCGCCGTGCTTGTGTGTTCCTCCGCCGTTCGGATACCGTCGTCGTCGTTGTTGAAGAAAGTGTGTTTTCGAACAGCAGTGCTGCAATAACAACAACAACAACAACAACAACGAAAAATTGTGCACGCTAATTGGTGTGGCCCCGGTGATTGATGATCACGCAATCGTGTTAGTGAAGATATAGTTATAGCAAGTTGATTTTGTTCCGGTGCGTTTTTGACTAACTCAAGTGATTTGGGACGAGTTAATCGGCTTGTGAGTGAAAAAAAAAGTTTGTGAAACTGAGTTCAGCCGCGAAACATTCGGCGCCCAAAACGCGGCAAGTGAATTTTATGTGATTGTCGGTGCAAATAAAAGTTACAAAATTTCGACCTACAAAATGCCGACGCTCCAACCGCGGATAGGATTCAGTATTGACTCTATAGTGGGGAACAGTACGCCCAAGTCGCCGCCTCACGCGATCACCAAGGTGGACAATTTGCAGCGATCGCCCAGTCCGCCGCAGTCCTACTCGGTACGGTTGAATCGGTTGCAGAGTCTTTCGCCGCCCCACAACTACAGCATCACCCGGCTTCCAGAATCACCGCAGAGCATCCCGGAGACACAGACCCGTTTGGAACTTCATCATAATACCAGCCCAGCTCTACAGGCCCGGTTAACTCCCGACGATCACCCGTCTGCCAAACGATCACGAAGCTCATCGCCTCCGTCTTCTCCATCTGGGCCGATGCCTACGGTAGGAGCTCCCGGACCTATCGTCGTGCCTGGACTACCGGCCGGACTGATACGACCCTTCCCCGTGAGCCCTCCTCAGCATCAACCTTCTCAGAATCCGGACATCAAGTCCCTGCCGCCGTTCATGCACACTCCGGAGATGGTCCAAGCAGCTCACAATCAGCACTTCCTAGCCGCCCAGTTCCAAGCAGCCGCTCTGGCACATGCCCAAGCCGGACAACCCTTCCCACCGCACCCAGCCGCTCATATGCACAACCCAAATCTGCCACCGCGGGATAGCTACCCTCTGTATCCGTGGCTGCTCAGCCGGCACGGTCGTGGCGTCTTCCCCATCGGATTCCCTGGCAGTAAGTACCACCACTTTAAGAGCTTATCAGCCCATCAAAACCAAATATTGACACTGACCTCGCTGCTTCAGCAGGTCACCGCCGGCCAACGTAAATCATCATCCTATAGTTTGTGGGCCGCAGCCTAGCCTTTGTTAACATTGTAACAATCTCCGATCCACGTCCGCGAGAGATTGACGACCCATTAAATCCGACTAATTTCGTTTCCTTCTATGCGAGTTCCGCCGCCGCCGCTGCCGTGGCCCGTCGGCTCGCATCGAACCCACCCAAATTTTAATAGCCTATTTAACAAATTAATCGCTCTCAACTTGTCCCTCTTCCCCGAATTGTCGTGGGTAGATTATTAATTGCTCAATTCCGACTGGTGGCGGCTAACTTGTTTCACGCTAAATTTTCACAAAACGATCCATGTCCGCCATCCGCCTGACAGAAAAGTTCTCAGGCCTATCCGTATCATGCTGCTGTTCCCGCTTCTTCTTCGTCTTCTAAGCTCGCCCGGAGAGTCATAATTCTCGCTCGGTCGATCGTCGTTGTTAACCCATGCCGCACACATGCTGAGAGCGCGTTTGTTCGATCGGGTGTTAGCATCTCAACTTTCGAAAACGTATAAGAAAGAAGAACCCCGAGCGGCTGCCCCTACAGACTGTTTAAGTAGCCTATTGTGCTGGATTCTTTTGAACGAAAGAAAAGAACAAGAAAAGGAATAACATTTCGTTTCTCATCCCAGAATGTTTGAATTGGCCTTTATAAGTCAGTCTTGCACCTACTTCAACGGACTTAATTGGAAACTGATCATTCCGGGGCGCGCTGCAGCATTTCATTGCCGGCCCAGAGCGAAACAGAGAGTGGCTGGCTCCTCTCTAGCCAAAATCTGTCATAAAACAGCTTGATTGTTGTCGATTTCTGGGAAAGAATGGTTTGTTTTTATGGGATTTCTTTCGCTTCAATGCGAGCGGAAAAAGGGAGAGTGAGGGTTTTTTTTATAGACGCACGCGAGCAAGGATCGGTTGGCTGACCAGCGATCGTAAAGTGATCATATTTGACGCGAGGTGGTGGTTGTTGTTGTTGGTCAGCGCAGCTTGCTGTGACATTTATGCACTCTTTGTGGGACGTCCAGATATGGGGATAATGTAACAATTTATGCCAAAAAAAAGAAGTTGTAGCAAGCTAATAAGTGTGGGTTAAGTAGTACTTAACAACGTTTGGAGGTTCGCTTCAAAGCAAACGCGATCAACAATTATTTAATGTACTAGGGGAAATTGATGTAATGTCGACCTAAATACCCCTAATTTGGGCCCATACATAAATTCAGCAATCGACTAAATTTTCAATAGCGACCAAAAATATCCATTAGTACCGTCCCAATGACGCGTTAATCTAGATAAAATTGATAAATAGCTGAGCCCAATGTTAGATCCCTATGCCAACATTAGAGCCATTTCCCCTATGTAAAGATTGCAAGGATAAAAGGATTTATGGATTGTTAACAGTCGACCACGATATTTTACTGAACTGGCAGAATTCCAAACGTCTCTTAACATACACAGACCATTCGACAACAGCTGTTGAAGAGTTATGCACAGCAAAAAAATAATTTTGATATCACGTCAAAGTGGATGCACTACAATCATGTCGAAAATATGGTGTAATATTACTTGCTAAAAAAGACAAAATTATCATTAATACAATGCATGAACTGACATTACGCTGCTTTTACTGCATTTGTTTATTTATGTGGTCATAAAAATTACATGAAATTTTCGACATGATTGTAGTGCATCCACTTTGATGTGATATCAAAATTATTTTTTTGCTGTGTGAGATAGTAAGTAGTAGAGAATAACAACATCCTTTCCACTTCACATAAGACTTTTTCGAGACTAATCAAATTTCTTCGTATTTAAATTACTTTTGTTTTTTTTTTTTTAATCAATACAATGTATGTGCTGAACGCTCCCAAGCTTAAAGCGCGCAATCACATTTACAGATCCGGGTTTGCAAAACATTGCTTCAAATATAATAACTGATAAGATTAGAGCATCGGCAACAATACGCCTTTTTAATGCACCACCAACGTAGAGTGCGCCACGCGAGTTCGAGAAGAAACGTCAACCAAACCGTTTGTTTACATCAGAATAAGTATTTTCCCCAACGCAAATAACAGCATTTTTCATTCAAAATCTTGCCAATTTCCATCGGTAATTGTCTTATTGTACGATTTTCCACAAATCTGAACTGATTTGCACCTTAACTATTCGCACACAAGAAATCCGGAAGATCATAACCACTAAGGCACTTTTATAATTTTCCATTTTTCTCAACAAAAATATTCCTGATATTTTCAGACACGTTACAGAATTAAATTTTTCAATTGAAGATTAAGTTTTGCAGCATCTCAGATGAATCAATTTATCAGGAAAAGTAAAAAAGTGTTCCACTTCCTATGTCTCAAGGCAAACATTTATGCTCACAACACTCTTTTTTGACGTTCTCCTATTCACCACCAAAGGTTGAATCGATCGTTTAGTTTCTATTAAAAAGGCCTATTATCGGCCTAGGTACCCATTTTGGAGCCATCGGTAGAACACTGGATCTAAATAACAAGGGTTTAAATTGTCTAAGCAAATGGAACTGAATTAGCCAAATTAGAGGCGATCCATTAAGTACGTCACGCTCTAAGAGACGAGGGAGGGTTCAGAAAGTTGTGGCAAACAATGTATAAGGTAAAGGAAAAATGTAACGAAAGGTGGGAACTGGGTTGATTTGTCTAAAATTTCGCGTGACGCACTAAATGGATGCTCCCTTAGAAAGAAGTTGCACCAATATAGGTTTTGTTTGCCTGGAACGAGACTACTGTAAACCCCCGTGATCAAACGTCATTTAGCACATGGTATGGAGTAAAGTGGCATTTCACTTTACTCCATCCCATGTGCTAAATGACGTTTAGAACGGAGGTCCACGTTAGTCTTGTTTCAGGCAGGGGTTGAAACAGTTGACGTTTCTTACTACACTTGCTTCGTTGTCGTGCGCGACAGTCTGTTTGTATTCGTACTCTCATACTCTATCGTCGTCTCTCTCACACAACACAACCGGTAGAACGAAATTCGAGCAAAATGAAAATTATCAAATAACTAAAAATATGACATGTGTGATTTCATTCTAATTCCTCAATTTGGTGTAAATTAAACCATTTCTGATACGAAATGTTATTACTAGAACATCGTTGCTTGCTATTTTCAGAATTCACACAAGCCATCAGCAGATCTTATTATGAGAAAAACTCAAATACATACATTCGAGACGATCTTCGGTGCCAGTGTCGTATGACAGAGCCTGTCAAATGACATTTTAGGTTGGTACTGTACTATGATAGCTTGTTTCGTAAGTGTCGTGGGCAAAGGCAGTCGATTATCACAGAAAATGTGTCGACTACCGTGACCGCTTACAAGACTGGTTTCAGGCAAATAAAAACCTATATTGATGCAACTTCTTTCTAAGGGAGCATCCATTTAGTACGTCACGTGAAATTCTACACCAATCAATCCCCTCCTCCCTTTCGTCACGTTTTTTCCTATACCTTATACATTATTTGTCACAGATTTCTGAACCCTTCCTCGCCCCTTAGAGCGTGACGTAGAGTAAAGTGGGGCAAGAGTACGCAGGCGGCAAAAGTACGCACCGATCCGAAAGGATGGATCAATTATTATGAGTTGGATTGAAACCTTTACTGAGAACAAGCTTACTAGAAAAATATGGTTTATTTTGAATAATCCACCTAAAAGGATTTTTTTCGATGTTTGCATTTGGATATAAAATTACAATTTTTTTGGACGCGGTATTACCATAGAGGTAACTCTAAGACTAGAAGGTCCCGAAGAATAGTGCTCAACTTTTTGGCTCAGCTCTGGTACTCTCTTCGGTCCCGAGAAATTTGATTCACCCCTCGAAACATAGGAAAATCCACGAACCCCTCATTTTATCTGTCAAACTTTCATAGCGATTCAAAACAAACATAGTTTAGTGGTAGAATTTTGACAAGAATGGGGTACGTTAATCGATTTGCTTGGGACCAATAGGCTAGTCAAGTAGTGAGCCAATTTTAAATCGTTAGTTTCCAACCGGTGGTATTGCGATATCATACACACTACGAAAATGAAATGTAAATTTCAGTGCCCTGAGACCGACACATGCAAGCGGACCTTTTGACATAAGAATCAGTTGAAAAGGATGAGAAAATCAATTCAATCAAACGCACTTTTCGTCGAGTTGCATATGTTTCAGTTTCAGGACACTTAATTTTACATGCCATGTTTGTTTACGTTCCATGATTTACGTCTCGTGTAAAAATAATAACTTCTAAGTGTGTAGATGAAGATTATAACCACAAACGAAGTGACAGACGGAGCGGCTCGAAAACTTTGGTGACTAACCTGCTATTTCAATTTTTCAGTGTACCACATGGCAACACTACTACTAGATTGAACTAGAATTTTCACCAAATGTACCAGAATGTTTTGGTTCTATCTCTTTCACTCTACTCAAAACTGAAATGCATAAAAAAATGACAAAATGATACGCACTCTTTGCACACTGTCAAAGAATCATTGTACACAAAATCAACTTTGTTCAAATCAAAACAAAAAAATTAACCCATCTGGTGGATGATGGCACAAGCTTCCAAGAAAATTCTATTACAGTGAACCACATTATTTAAATGGATTTCTTCGCCAGTTAGTCGTCTGTCACTTCGTTTGTGTTATAACCTACATACTTAGAAAAATTCATGTAAATTAAGGTGCTCTGAGACTGACATATACGAACGTCAATTTTGACATAAAATTGAGTCATAATAGATGCAAAGTTCAGTTCAATCAAACGTACTTTTCGTCAAGTGACGAACTCGGAGCACTTAATTTTACATGACATGTTTGTTTACGTCTCATCCTTTATGTCAAAGATGGATTCCGTGTGTAAGTATTCCAGCATTATGATTGATCTAT